CAACAGCAGCAGCAGCAGTGACAGCACATCCGTCACGCACAAACAAACCCTATTCAACAAGTAAGCATTTTTCTTTTTTTTTAAAGAAAAGAAAAAAATTAGAAAATACACATTGAGGTATCAAGTAAGGAGTAAAAATATAGAAATAAGTAATTGACACTGCCCTAATGGGAAGGACGGACCTCATGGTAAGACGAAACCAACTTATCAACATCAGGTTTCAGATTGGTCAGTAGCAGACGCAAATCGCCACGCCCTGTGATCCTTAGATTGTTCCTCTGTTTCGTCAGCAGCCTCCTTGTCCCTGCACGGAATCTCCTTTCTGCTGAAGAGGAGGCCGGAAAAGCGGTGAACAACAACTTGATCTTTTCCCACAGGGAGGGATATTTGTCTTGCACAACAGTTTTCAACCAGAATGACGGGTACGACTTTTTGAACAATGGTTTGATTTCAAAGTCACATTTCATCGTCAGAAGCTCTTCTCCAGCTGCTACTAGCAAGTTACCATCTTTTTCAGTGTTTAATTGGTCCAGTACCCAGTCTGGAATATCCAATTAAAAAATATCAGTAAACCTTGTCTTCATATCAGCATGCAAATCTCTGAGGTGGTTGGCATTTCTGTAGTTCCTCGCCAGACACCCGCTCTTCTTTCAGCGTCTTCGCCCACTGGGAAACTCAGCAAATTCTCTTCTGCTAACGATTCGGCGGAATATTTCCAATTTCGACAAGAATTACGAAAGCATGGATTTTGCCTTGATCAGGTTGGTGTAATCCCCCTGCAGTTGCAAGTTGATCTTGTTGAACTTTGTGAAAAGATGTGTGACGAACGCAACTTTGTTCTTTTGTTCTTTCAGTTTATTACAGAGATCACTGTCTGTTTATTGGGGGAAAATCTCCAGCACGGAGTCAAACAGGCAGAACGATCGTGTTGAACATTTTCCATTTGAGAATCACTGGACGTCAGTGTGCAAAAGTAAGCTTTGAAAGTCCTCCTCATTTCCAGTGCGCAGCTCTTGGAATAATCTCGAATTCAAAGCGTGGGCTTTGATCTTGTTCACACACTTGATGACAACAATGGCTAGCCCGTGTGTCATGCAGACTATCACTCGGGTTTTTTGTCACCAAATGTTGTCTGTGAATGGGACAGTGAGCAGTTAGAGCTCTAGGGACTGATTTCTTCAAGAAGCTCATAAATCCACGGTACCGACCTGTCATCAACGGTGCCCCATTTGTTGCACAGGCAACTATATTGGTCAGAGGGATCTGTTTGTCCTCGAAAAATTCTTGGACCACTTTGAAAATGGACTCGCCTCTGGTATCTATTTCCAACATTTTCGCAAATAACAATTTTTGCATAATTTCCTCACCCTCTATGAACCGATATCCAGCTGAAGACTGAACTCTCGTCCTTTAGGCATTTTGCACAGTGATTCCTCATCATTTGCTGACTACTCATCAATACGTCTTTGAACGGTATTGTCACTTGGTGGGAGAACTTTCACCACAGACTCCGGGGCACGGTGCAGGGCTGTGCTGACCACCTCTCTGATCGCAGGCAATATGAGGTCCTCACCGATAGTATGGG